CCATAAGGCAGTGTTTCTCAACCCAGTCCACATTTTTGCCTCCTCCCAGCTCCCTGCTGGCAAGAATGTGGACTGTCTGGGGGTCCCTGAGGACCGGATTGAAAAACACTGGCATAAGGCACCATCTCAGACTGTAGTTGATGTGGCGGAAAAACCGTGTAATATGGGTTTAAGGGGATGGGCTGGGTGGGTTGCCAGGTTATCAGTGTGGTGGAAATGAACAGTTGGTCTGTACAGTGCTAGCACCCCCCAAGCCCCCCCCCCGCAGCTGCAGCCCGTGACCCATGGGGTGTTGTGGGCCATGGGCACTCAGCAGATGCTCTCACAGGCACCCAGGAGACACAAAGATGCAAAGAACCTGATATTTTAATATGTGGTTGCACATAAATTAGGACTGTGGATATAAACTGTCCCATGAAATAGGCAAGTTATATATGATGTGGTTCTGCTTTGTCTTCTGTGTAATTCAGTAGTACAGTGTTTGTAATTTTTACTTATAAAACATATTTTTAAATTTGACTGTGGCAAGTTGTCTGCTTTTTATCTACCAACCAGACCAGTTACCAGCTTGGGAAATTAGTTCCTGACTGTTTTTCTGTATTGCAGTAATTAGCTTAACTGCACTTGGCGTGGAATTGGAAGCTCTTGTCTTTTCGGCAGACAAAGTGTAAGAGGGCCCCTAGTTCAGTGCAGTAAGGGCCCCTAGTTCAGTGCAGTAAGGGCCCCTGCTGCTCTCGGCCCATAAACGCCGAGCGGCTCTGTGCTGGCAGGCAGACGGCCGATGTTTTGAGTTAATTCTGCTGACGCTCCTCCTTTGCTTTGTTTGTATGTGTCTGTCTGCACTCTGTAACTGTACACTCAGTTCTGCTGCGCTGGGGCACAACCTGACCATGCGGCAATGTGTCCAAATAGGACATGGCGTAGTGTGAATGCCACGTAGCACTTCACCCGAGGGGTCACAGCTCTTCCATCTTGGGGGTCAGGCCTTGGCTTTATAAACAGGGAGCTGTTACTCATCGGAAAGTGGGAACAGCCCCCTGTTGCAGGGGCAAGTGATGGACCTGTTCCCGCCATGTCCCGTTCTGCTCTCCCCACCCTGCCCCACCCCCGTCAGAGGGGTGATGGAACCGCTCACCCGCCATGTCCCGTTCTGCTCTCCCCACCCTGCCCCACCCCCGTCAGAGGGGTGATGGAACCGCTCCCCCGCCATGTCCCGTTCTGCTCTCCCCACCCTGCCCCACCCCCGTCAGAGGGGTGATGGAACCGCTCACCCGCCATGTCCCGTTCTGCTCTCGTTGCCCCACCCCGATCGCAAGGGTAAGAGAGAACTGCTCACCCGCCATGTCCCGTTCTTCTCTCCCCACCCTGCCCCGCCCCCATCAAAGGGGTGATAGAACCGCTCACCTGCCATGTCCCGTTCTGCTCTCGCTGCCCCACCCCACCCCAGGGGTAAGAGAGGGCCACTCACCCACTCTGTCCCATTCCGCTCTCGCCACCCCTCTCCCACCCCACCCTGCCCCCCTTGCAGGGATAAGAGAGAACCGCTCACCCGCCATGCCCCGTTCCGCTCTTCTTCTCCGTGTTGCTGCGGAGCTGGGATGGGATGGGAATTTCAGCATGCGTGACCTCCTCTGATGGGGCCAGATCCAATCTCGCCCTACTAAGCGAGGCTTCCTCCCACTCTCTGCTAGATGGTCTTTTCTGTTCATCCAGGGTCACCTCCCTCCCTTCCTCCCTCCCTTCTCTAACCCCCTTAATTTCCTTATTTACCTCTACACCCCCCCCTGCCCCCCCGCCTCAGCCAGCAGTCCTCCCAGAGAACATGGCTGGCAGCTCGACCTGATTACGATTCCTGTGTAATAGTTCTGCGTGCCCCCCATGCAAGGTTTCAGCCGATGCCCCCCGAGCGATGGTACAGTGCAGCTGTCTGGTATTTGCCTCCCCTCTGTGTGGCACATTTAGGAAGAGCAGGTTTCCCACAGCGTGCCCTGTTAGTCCAAAGCGGAATAGGATCCCTCCACTTGTTTTTATGTTCTGTATGGGACGTGCCACCTGCTGGCTGGTACGCACACTGCAGGATAACCCACTTTTCTGACCATCACCCTTGTTTGAATGAAAACTATTTATTCGGCTGGACAGATGCTCAGCAGGGACTTTTATCCTCTGCACAGTCTGTGCCCCCCCATCCCCATTTTTCTTCATTTGAGTAAAATCCATGTGGACTCCTGCACCAACTTAACATTTCAACCAAAGTGCTAATGCTAAATATTTTTATTGTGAAACAGGCAATTTCTTTTCATTGTAAACCCCAGAATGAGTGTATCAGCCTGAGTTGTTTCTTGCTTGTGTTATGCGGACCCCGCCAGGGTGTCGTCTGTGTGAATGGGGACATGTTCTCTCAGCACTGCACTGGGCTCACTCCGGTACCAGCTTAGCCCCTCGCTCTGCTGATTGTAGGTGATCAGGCAGCTGAAAGCTGGCCTCTGACCCGCCTGCCACCTCACGTAGTGGTTCGCTGCTTGTGCTTCAGCCATGTGCGTCGCTCCCTGCTCTGATTGTTTTCGTGTTCACATTGTTCTGTTTGAGTCTCATTGGTAGTCAGCTGTGGTGAGGCAGAAACGCACGCCTGCCCACACGCACAAGAGCATGAATGTTGCTACACCCTGTGCTTGACCTGTTCTGATCACTGTACTCTGTAGAAGACCCCAGTAGGGGGCACTGTGGTGACCTACAGATGCCAGGCTGGGCTGTATAGTTTCGGATCGTGTTTTTCTCAGTCTCTCTCCTGATTAATTCCTCTGAACTGAGTGTGAGGCTAGAAAAATCAGGTTGTTTTGACAGGGTGAGTATAAATAGTCTATGGTCGCAGTCCATGTATGGTGACTCTTATGAAGCACTTTTGTGTAATGGTAAAAGGGGTAGTTTGATCTGTATTCTTGTATAATGCATGCAGGCGTGCCTGTGTGTGTGTGTGTGTGTGTGTGTGTGTGTGTGTGTGTGTGTGTGTGTGTTTGTAATGATTACATTGTGGGGCCAGATTTCTCCACGATGTGATTAAAATCCTGTTACTTTTTACCATTTGTAGACATTTTTCTGGTCCCCGAACTCTGAGTGATAGCCTAGCAGCGCTCTGTGTGTATGTTTTGTATGTGTGTGTGGATTATGTTTATATTACATTGTGGGGACCAAATGCCCCCCTACAATGTGATTTAAAACTTATTTTGACTCTATGGGGACCATTTTTCAGGTCCCCACAAAGATCTGTGAATGCAGTCAAAAAACTAAAAATGCCAAAGGTCTCATATTTTGTTTGGCTACTTATGGTTAAGGTCAGGGCTGGGTAGTGTTTAAGGTCGTCATGTTGGGATTAGAGTTTTCCCCATAGAAATGAATGGAGAGTCCCCACAAAGATATAATTACAAACCTGTGTGTGTGTGTGTCAGAGTGATATCCCAGTAGCCCACTCTGCAGATCCTGTGACCTCTGGGCTCTAGCCCACCTGTCTCCAGAATCAGGGTGGAGATGATAGTTCTGACATACCTCCCCCCCCCACCCCACGCCGCCCCCTCAACATCCATCAAGCTGAGCTTTGCCCCTTCCTAAGTACTTGCTTCCCTATAAAATGTGTGGCATGCTCCCCCACGCCCCAGCACACCCACACTTCATTGCCCTTATATTCATATTTGGAACTTTTGTGCTGATGAGAGCTGTAAGTGCTTTAAAAAACCAGCCCATCTGCCTGTGCCACGTTTGTGATGTCATTTCCTGATGACCTTTGGCCTCCGCTCAAGCTGACTCACCACTCTGTAGCCGACTCACCTCTTTGTCGACATGCAGCATCCTGAGCCCTTTGAAATGTCTCCTGACACAATCTAAAGATCTTGGCAGATATGAAATGTTTGAACTTCTCTTGGCCTGGCTGGTTTCCATTATTCCCAGTGAGTATGCAGGGTGGTCAGGTCAGGGTTTAAAAATGAATGGTTTATTTTTATTTTTTTTTTCGGTTTTATTTTTCAATAAGTATAGACCAGAACCTTCTGTTTGTCAGCTTAAAGTGAAAGTCAGTTTTCATAAACCAGTATGTTAGTCTCCCAGACTCCCCTTCATTTGGCTGTTATGTCTCTCTAGATGAGACTTGCTCCTTGTTGTTTGCCACCGTTTGGACAGTGAAATGTTCGGATTGTATTTGCTGTTCCTACCAACAGACCATCCAGTTGCTTTCATCATGGTCATGAAAATTTCATCCCTTCGACATATGCTCTCGGTTTGCCCGCCCGTTGGGCTAAAGCCAAAGCTCTTGCTGTGGGCATGAATTGTTATAGTTACCCAGTATTTCCCACAGTGCTTTGCAGGCATGTTCACGTCTGAATTTCGAGCAGCCATGCAAAGCTGTGCCAAGAACCAGATCTTAAATTACTGTCAAAATAACAAAGAAGGGCAGTTAATTTTTAACTTGTTTTTAATTTTTATTCACAGCTGCTCAGTTCCCCTGAGTGCATTTGCTGCAGTTTCATTTCCATAAAAATAAATATAAACCTGCAGAATTTAACCGTGTTATCTGATTAACAGGAGGTCTTATTTCTTATCTGTTTAAACAAAGAAAGCCTAGAAGCGGCTTATGTCTGTGTGGTTTGTCGCCCTTGCCTGAGTGTGAACTCCAAGATGGGGAGGGTCGGGGGGGTTGGACATATTTAACGAACTAAATGCGTTTTGTTGCAGAAGTCACTCCCCTTCCTCTGTGCTTTGAATCAGTAGCTTCCTGCTGTATTTTCCGGAGCATGTTTCCTAAGTGGCCATCGAGTCTCTGCAGTCGAGGTGCAGTGCTGGGGGGTGGGGATTGGGGGGGGGTTTACTTTGGCTGCCTTCCTCCTTGATGGCTTCCCTGGGATTTTCCCAGATCGTTACACAGAAATGCAAAAGTCGCTTCACGGAGGCATGAGCACCCTGATCCCGCTCACTGTGCATCCTTGCCACCCCCTACTCACCCCCCACCCCCGCAGGCCGCTGACCTCAGCAAGCCCATAGACAAGAGGATATACAAAGGAACGCAGCCCACCTGCCACGACTTCAACCACCTGACGGCGACGGCGGAGAGTGTGTCGCTGCTGGTGGGCTTCTCGGCCGGACAGGTGCAGCTTATCGACCCCATCAAGAAGGAGACCAGCAAGCTGTTCAACGAGGAGGTAAGAGGCGGGCTTGCTCCAGTACAGCGGGTCTTTCCGCATGCATGTTGGTTTCATCTTTGTTTACTCCTCTCTTAACCGATGTCATGGTTCCTCAGCTCTGCAGAAAGAGCTGTCAGTAATGGGGACAATGGAAAGTGTAACTCTCATACACCATGTCCCCCCTCCTCCCAAAATTAGATGAGCTGGCTGCACCCAGTGCCTTTCAGATTCCACAGCCGAGAAATGAGATTATCGATGGTGCTGATGTTTATCGGGAATCGTTTGGCTGAGCGAATGGGGAAACGTGTCTTTCTGAAAGAATAGCGGAGCCAGAGATCCGGCTGGGGAAGTGGTGATGGATTGCTGGGATCAGGCTCTCCTAGGGGGGCGCGCCCTGCCGCCGGAGCAGCCGATCGGATAGTGCTGTTAGAATGTGATACGTTTGGCATGTATGCTGATCAGGGCATTTACCGAGCGCTTAGTGACACTCCTGTCTTTTCTCCCCCTCAATTGCTCCCTCTCTGCACGACGTCTTCCTTCAGAGGCTCATAGACAAGTCGCGGGTGACCTGCGTGAAATGGGTGCCCGGCTCCGAGGGCCTCTTCCTGGTGGCTCACTCCAGCGGCAGCATGTACCTCTACAACGTGGAGCACGCCTGCGGTACAGCGGCGCCCCACTACCAGCTGCTGAAGCAAGGCGACGGCTACGCCGTGCACACCTGCAAGAGCAAGTCCACGCGCAACCCGCTGCTGCGCTGGACGGTGGGCGAGGGCGCGCTCAATGAGTTCGCTTTCTCGCCCGACGGCAAGTTCTTGGCTTGCGTGAGCCAGGACGGCTTCCTGCGTGTCTTCAACTTCGATGCCGTTGAGCTGCACGGGACCATGAAGAGCTACTTCGGGGGCCTGCTGTGCGTGTGCTGGAGTCCCGACGGCAAGTACATCGTGGCGGGGGGGGAGGACGACCTGGTCACCGTCTGGTCGTTCCTGGACTGCCGGGTCATCGCCAGGGGCCATGGCCACAAGTCCTGGGTGAGCGTGGTGTCGTTTGACCATTACACCACCAGCGTAGAGGAGAGTGACCACACGGAGTTCAGTGGCAGCGACGAGGAGTTCCAAGACCAGATCCACTTTGGCCGAGACCGGGCCAACAGCACGCAGTCGCGGCTCTCCAAGCGGAACTCCACGGACGGACGGCCGGTCAGCGTCACGTACCGGTTCGGCTCGGTGGGCCAGGACACGCAGCTGTGCCTCTGGGACCTGACTGAGGATATCTTGTTCCCCCACCTGCCGCTGTCCCGGACCAGGACGCACACAAACGTCATGAACGCCACCAGCCCGCCCCCGACGGGCAGCGGCAACGGCGGCAGCGGCAACGGCGGCAGCAGCGCTGTGAGCAACAACCCCGGCACCAACGGCAACAGCGCCCCCTCCGCCAGCAACCCAGTGGCGGGCTCGTTGTCCGCTACGCTGCCGCGCTCCAACAGCCTCCCGCACTCGGCGGCCGGTGGGGCCAACAGCAAAGTGGGAGGGGGGGGCACGGACAGCGCCGTGGCCTCAGGCGTCAGCAAGTTCGCCACGCTATCGTTGCACGAGCGCAAGGAGCGACACCACGAGAAGGATCACAAGAGGAACCACAGCATGGGGCACATCAGCAGCAAGAGCAGCGACAAGCTCAACCTGCTGACCAAAACCAAAGCGGACCCCGCAAAGACCCTGGGCACCACGCTGTGTCCCCGCATGGAGGACGTGCCCCTGTTAGAGCCTCTCATCTGTAAAAAGATAGCACACGAAAGACTCACGGTCTTGATATTCCTCGAGGACTGTATTGTCACAGCTTGTCAGGAGGGATTTATTTGCACATGGGCGCGGCCCGGCAAGGTGGTAAGTTCCTGTGTCGAGACCCAAAGATAGACAAGCCGTGTGAAGGGGCTTGTGTGTGCAGGAAATGCAGCCCCTGTGTAACACGCTCACGCTTAGTGACGGAGCAGTGACAGGAGCCCCGTGGTTTTAAGTGTCAGCGTAAGTAGTCACCACTGCTTTGTGGCTCGAAATTGAGCTTAAGTCCATACTGCATTTTCAACCAGCCAGTTCTTGCAGGTCAGATATGAGTTAAGTTCAGGGACAGTACCAAATGACTGTATCCTTTGGAATAGCCTGAGGCTACCCCCCAGCCCAGAATGGTGCAGGTGGTGGACCAGTTGATTTACTGGAAAACTCCATTTTACACCCACAATGGGTAGATCTCAGTGAAAGAACTGAGCCTTATCTTAGTGTCCCTCCTCTTCTCCCGCCCCCCCCAGGACAGGGAAACAGAGCAAGGAAGAGGTTGGGGGGGTGGGGGGTGGGTTGATACTGGGTCAGTTATGGTTGAGCAGGTTGGTCACTTTGCAGATTGTCCAATGCAGCTGTCCATGTTTTCCTTTCCAGGGTTTATTGTCATCCCAAAACCAAGCCAACTCTCCCAGCGGGACAGTAGTATAGCCACCATATTTGTGCTGCTAAGAGACCTTCATCACCGAGATGTACTGTCGCCGGAGCCTGGCGCTGTCTTTACCTGCACAGCACTGCAAGCTCCGGGGGTTCCCCCTCCCGCCCCGCCCCTCCCCGCCGTGTCAGAGCCCGCCAACCAATGGAGAAGGTTGAAGGGCAGGTCTGGGTCATGGTTCTGGACACTTTATTTATTTTTAATGTTTTTTTTTTTTTAACCCCCTTCCCCAGCTGCTTCAGTTCCTTACCTTCTGTCACACTTCCATTCTGTAGTGTTTTTTTTTGTCCACTGGTTTTTGCAGCCCCCGCCCCCCCCCCCCCCCCAAAGGAAAGCAGATCGATATCCGCTTCCCCTGACTCATGAGTACTCAGCCGATAGTGATAGAGAGCGCGAGATGAGAAAGCACCCCCCCTTTCCCGCCCCAGTCCCCAAATTAGATTCTCACAGGTTGGATATTTTGCACTGATCTTTGTCTTTGTTTTCTGAATACTATACCGGAACAAAACCGCGACGTGACGCCATGAGGGCGGCCCGGTCCAGCCCGGCCCGGATGCATTTCGGCTCACGGCGAGTCGTCAGCTTCAGGCTTGAACCTTTGAATCTGAAAGTTGGATGCTGCAATCATAGTTTTTTAAAAAGAGAAAAAAAAGAAAAATGTTTGCACTTAATAGTTTGTTTAGAAGAGAATGGCTTTACAATTGTTGGGGTGTGCAAGGGCTCCCAGACAGTTATAAGGTGGAGAAAATGTTAAATGATTAAAACCTTTGTATCTATTGAGCATTTATTTTAATATTGTTTCAGATTAAAATCTGCTCTGTATTATATGTATAATATTGTAATTCAGTGATTGATGGGGCAAAACAAATGATCATTACACTAGTGGAATTTGTCTTCATTAAAGGAAAATAGTGATATTTCTAATGCAGAATAATATACATATTAATATTAAAGAGATCTTGAATATACAGGTTTTGTTTCTTTTCTGTTGTACAAATAGATCATTCAGATGTATTTTTCTTAATTAAATGTTTGGTATAGGAGATCCCTTTATATCAGAAGCTCTAATCCTCAAGAAGCTCTAATGTTCCAGATTCATCAGATGTACGTCAGTGAGGCAGAGGAACAGCGAGAGCCTGCATTTCGAAGCTCAGGAAGTCCAAGGCAGGCCGAAAGCATCCAGGCATTCTTATTTTGCTTAACATCAGCAATGCTGTTCTGTGTAACGTGAGGTAGCATTCACTAGAAGCCGCTAGGCCCGTGGTTCCGCTTTAGGAGCACTGTCCGTGTGACACTATTAAAACCTTTTAATGTACCTCGTCTTGTGACTTCTGCTGTTTGTCAGTGACGTCAAGGTGAGACACTTGGATGGAGGCTGGACTGAGTGCTAGAATGGAAGGTGTGTTTGTGATGTGTTTTTGGTGTGGCCAACAGCTGAGCCGATCCTGTGGTCTGTGTGGATCCCAGTACCGTGACGGGGACGCTGTGCTGTAAAAATGTTGCCGTCCTTCTGATGAGATGTAAAACTGAGCTCCTGACTCTCTGAGGTCATAGAAGATCCCTGGGCATCCTTTGAAAGAGTAGGTGTGGTATCCCGATGCTCTGGTTAAAACTACCTACTGTAGCCCTTTCAAATATGGCCTCCTAATCATCTAACTGGTCAATTCTCGCCTGCCTCTTCCACCTCAGCCACTCTGTGGTGAGCGCACTGGCACAGAATGGCTGCTGTCACATCATCCAGGTGGGGGCTACACAGTGGTGGTTCAAGAGGCTCCCCATTGGTTCTGTAAAGCACTTTGGATTTCTTGAAAAGCGCTATATAAATGTAAATGTAACATTCATTCAGAAATTGGTGCGGCTTTATTCAGTGTTGAAACACCGTCAGTTCGATGGGATTTGTCCTCAACATGTTCATGGGCTTGCTAACACATCGATAGTTAAATGTCAGAGCTGCCAACGTTGTTCTTGCTAACATTTAGTGGTCGAGGTTTATGGTACCGTCCCTGACGGCAGTATGTCCAGTACGGAGGTTTATATTTCGTGGCTCTGTCCACCTTCCCTCCAAAATGAGTTCTGTGCTCTGTGGTTGCACTTCTGCTGTGGTCTCATCAGACCTCAGATGAATGTGAATGAGGTCCTCTCTGGTGTCTGAGCTGTGAACCTGCGCTTCAGAGCGGTGCGCTCTACTTTTATTGTTATCCATCTTCTGTCAGGTCCTTCTCTAACTCACGCTGGGGAGAAAAGCCTTTATCTTAACATTCATTTATGTTTGCCGTGCGTTTTTTTTTCCGTTTTTTTTTAACCAAGTGATCACCTTCTTTTATTTCACATATAATACAATAGACAGGTATGTATTAGATAAATACTGTTGAGCTGACATAATCAGATTCATTCATTATTAACGTTAATAGTCAGGGGTGTGTGCTGCAGTGCTCACTGGACTCCCTGTGGTATTTATAGGAATCTGAATTTATTTATTATCTGGGGAAAGGTTGAGAGGTCGAGCCGTGTTTGCTGTCGTTCTGTAAATGTCAAATTTCATTTAGTAGTCTGCGTGTTTGTGTAGGCCGCTATTCCAGCCATGTTTATTGAACTTCCTCTCTTGAATTGGTTCCGTTTAAATGTTAAGGGCCATTCAGAGTTCCTATGGCTGTGCGTGTGTCTCTCACAATACTGACCGTACTAATCAAAGTATGCATGAAATTTGTTTAGGGAATGTGCTTGAATTTTTCCCCTGTTCTCATTTCTTCATGTCACGTGTGGTTATTATTTTACCATCTTTGTAGTACACTAAATTATTAGATTCTGTTAAATGGATCACCACGGTTAACATTAAACGTGACTTTAAAAGGCTTTTCCTGCCATTTGGAAATGATGAATGATTAAAATTCTGTAAAACCGGTTGCATAGATGATGAGATGAAAACATCAAGCAGAAGCACTTCCTACATGAAGAGGCCCCAGTGGGGAAAGTGAAGTTGAATAGCACTGTACTCCTTATCCTTAGACAACCTAGCAGGACTGAAATGTCCTGAATGTCTCGCTATTTAAATACTACTTCCTAGGCTGCATAACTGACCCCTTTTGAATACTTTAAGCTCTAATTTCTTTTAAGACTGTTTATGCTGCCTGGATACCTATTAAATGTCAGTGCGGCACAACTGTCAAATGTAAAGCCTAGAGCTTTTAACAGGGTATGTGTACAATCCAGACCCAAGTAAATTGGGGCACTCTGCATCCCCCCCCCCAAAAAAAAAATGAAAAGGAGAGCTGCTGTACCCAATTACAGATAAGCTTGCTATAGTGGTTAGATTAAAAGTCTAACGTGAGGTAACAGTGTAAGTGTATGACAATATTAAAACATTCCATTGTGACATTCTCTTTGGCAAAATAACTACAGGAGGCTCATGACAAGGTGGCAACATAAGTATGTGTATTAAAAAGCACAGAGAAGTGGTTCTTTTTTGTTAGGCTGGTGACTCACAGCCAGATGGACTTGCAGTTCCGTTCCCCAACATGTGGGGGGCGCTCTTGTTTTGAGTCTTTAGCATTTGAACCTTAGCAGCCACTGACCTTCGGGTCTATGGAAGGCATGAGGCAGGTTTTGAAGTTTCTCCGGTGCGACGACTCTGTAGGCTGCAGGAAGCAAAGATCATCACTCAGAACTCCCTGGTCAATAAACCAACAAGATGCCAATTCCGATTTCCCGACATTTGTCAAGGAAGGTGAGAACAGTGGAGTTTGGCTGGTGTTGCTTCACCTTCGCATGAGATGCTCCTGCTTCACCGTTTTTGGTCTACAGGGGCCAGCTGTAGAGATATACGGGCATTGCTGCTTTCATAGGAAGTGGAATCGCCTATGTTTACCTTGGATAGGTGCGAGTGGCACTTTTTGGATGTGATGGCTGGTAGAGACCCGCGGTGGGTGACGGGGAGGGCTGGCAGGGTGTTGATGGGAAAGGACGAAATCTTTGGCGTGGGCATCACCACATTTAGCTTTGGGAGCTCCACCGGGAACGGCGGCCCGTTCTGCCTGAGCAGCGGCTCAGCTACGTGTCTGCCCAGGAGCTACGGAAAGAGAGGCGTGATCCCAGGTGCTGCCGCCTTGTGCTTCCCGAGCCTGTGGGTGCTTTGGCTGCGGAGCCAGACGCGTCGCCACGCTGCGCGCGGTCGTTAAATGAACCGCGTAATTGGCACATATGGCCTCCTGACCCACTTACTCCTACTCTACTTCACACCCTTGGCTTTGTTTTCTATCCAAGACCCAGCAGCCAGTGCTAATTTACCCCCATCGAAACAAGCTCCGAGTCAATTAAATTCTTCAGGCTTTAGTTGGCTTCATAAAATGGGGTAGTTTCGCTTAGCGTGAAAGCGAATGTATACAGTAGGTAGGGGTGGGAATGCTGCTGCACACAGAGATGATGGCACAGTAACTGGGGATAATGTGCCTCCCTGCATGTCACTGTACACATTACACGTTGGATATCCACATACACTCCTCACATATAAGGTGACCTCTCCCAGCACCTGCCTTACCTGCCGCCGTCCTTGCCTGGCGATGCGCCATAGCTGGTCCACGGGGTTGGCCGGCGTGCCGCCCTCTCCGCCTTCGACCGTCCTGACTGCCCTGCGCTGGCCGCCCGCCCTCCTTTCCGCCAGCCTGAGATAAGGATTCAGGGTTCGTCACATGACATGTTAATATAGGCCCGGGGGTGCAGAGACCTACTTGCTTTAGCACTGAGTTTCCTCTGATGTACAGTCTGAATATGTATCGTTTTATAAACGCCAGGCTTGGCAATGGGTAAGTCCCAGTGTTTTATGGGTATTTTATGGGTGTGGCCTCGACGGCTGTGGGGACAGACTCACCGCAGCTCTCGGAAGCAGGGGTGCTGCAGCGTGGCCCCGGCGCCGATGCGGTCCTCGGGGTCATACTCCAGCATGCGGTGCAGCAGCGCCAGGCTGGTGGGCGAGCAGTGTGGGATGAGCCGCGACAGGCCGCAGCCCTTCTGCGGGGGGAAGTCGAAGCTCATCGCACGCGACCTGCCGACCAGATGGACGCACGGCGCTGAGTGGCAGGGGCACAGAGTAAATGTGGTGACGGGGTTAAATGGTATGATCAGGGCTTACTGCTTGAATTTATAGAGGAGACTAGGGTCTGGTGTTCCCAAAACTTCGTGGATCTTGGAAACCTGGTCCAGTTCATTGGTGCCAGGGAACAGGGGGTTGAGGCTGAAGGACACAGAGGGTGTGAAGATTGTACTTGTGCTCTTGGCAAGACCAGTCTTGCTAACTTGCCTTCCAAGAACAAACCTGGGCTGCAATTAATCATGGGATTGGTCTAATTTGATATGGATGCAACAGATGTATGGGGCAGGGCAAGAACAACATCCGGCGATTTTTACCGTCCCCTGTACTTCTGTTCTTGAGTACTGGAACTGGTCTTTGGTAATGGAAGAGGACGTCAAACGGGTACGCAAGAACACAAGTAAGGTCAAGTACGCACATTGAAAAACTGTGTTTTTATACACCATTTGACAGCATTCAAGTTATTAAAAAAGTCTGATGATGTAGAAATTTCTCAGGGTGCAAGATCAGCCGCCATGCTCTGCTCATTCCAGCCTCCGCTCACTCCCAATTAATGGCTTCCCCACTTCCCATAAACACACACACGCTGACAGACTGAGCCAGAATGTTCTCCGACGTTTGCAGGCCTCACACCGGAGGGTCTTTGCCTAATTGGTGTGAGAATCCGCGTAGTTACCACTGAAAGACGCCAAGATGGAGTGGCCACTTTCGCTGGCCTGTTGCCTTGACGATGGGCGTTCCTGCCGCTGTTAATGACTCAGTGGTAAACACTGGCGTCTCTTTGTCTCCCCATATTCACCCAACTGGGTGGCCATAGAGAGACAGTGGTATGTTGTGGGGGGAACAAAAAAGGGACCAAAAAGTTGCACTCTACTGTCACCTCTGCTCGGTCCCTCTGGGGGAGGGGGTCTCCATTAGAAAGGGACCCTTTTATTAGAGTGTATGCTTCATTTGAATTTTCCATCTCCAGTATACAACTTCAATTTGTACTGCCAGAACACAGCATTTATCTTAGGCCAATGAATCATTTATACATACAAACAAACAAACAAACAAAAAAAAAACATTCAGAAAATGGATCGATGCCCCCTACTGGTAGGTTATTAGTCTGTGAGTAGCGCAAAGGTTAGAATTGGTGTCTAGAGGTTGGCCTGTAGGTACCTGAGGATCTCAAAGAAGACGCATCCGGCGCTCCACACGTCCATCTTGTGTGAGTAGTAGCCGTCGGTGAGCAGGCACTCAGGGGCCCGGTACCAACGCGTGGAGATGTACTCCGTGTGTGGCGGCCTGCAGTAGACGCTCCTGCAGGAGCCAAAGTCGGCCAGCTTCAGCACATCCTGCTGGCGGGACGACAGGCTCTGCTCACCGCATGTCAAAGTGAATTTCTTAGGTAGCTCTGATAGTCCTGCCTTGTGCTCCAGGTAAAATCCTGTTTCAGACTCCTACCTAGTTCTGTCATTGGAACAATTCTAGGAGCTCCTATTAAATTTGCTAAAACTACACAGCATACAAGGCACAAACACAGGTGGTATTGTCGTCCCCCTAGGGTCCAAAAAAACAGCCACTGAGGCTAAAATTCTTTAAATGCATCTGACACACAGGATGGCCTAATGCATGGCTCCCTGTTTCCGGTCCCGGAGAGCCAGAATGCTCAAACACACCTACTAAACCTGGCAATTACTCGATTAATCTGCAAAATGTGCTGGGTTCTGGTCCTCCAGGACTGAAATTGGTGAACCCTGGTCTAACCCCTTCAAAACTGCTAGGCAATGAAGTACAGTTATTCCGCTATATCAAAAATATATTAATGAGGGTCTACAACTTACTCTGATTAGGATGTTCTCTGGTTTGACATCTCTGTGGAAGATCCCATTTCTATAAAGAGAGTGCAATGATGTACCTTTAAATACTATGAGCATAAACAGTGTTTGTCAGCAGAGAAATAATTTGTTTGTGTGGAGGTAAATGGAATGATCTTCGGTGAGCACATTTATTTGCAGTTTTTATGAATTACAGGTGGGTGGCGCTGTGGCCTCAAACCTCCACATGCTGTCATGGTGCTTTCTTCCCACATTCCAAAGACATGCAGTTAGGCTAATTGGTGCTTCGAAAGTGCCTGTCATGTCTGCCTGTATGTATGTCCTGCGCCTTGAGTCCTGTGTTTCCTGGAACAGGCTGCAGGCCCCACACGACTCAGACCAGAATAAATGTTTGAAGATAAATTGGGAAAAGAAAAATTTTAGCAGTGTCATAAGCCTGCCTGTTTGCTGTGCGCCTGCAGATTTTCTGCGGGTAACTGCAACTCTTCATCCCTGTGGAGGGATCTGCCTGATAATGGTGTCTTGCCTGTTTATCCTGCTGTCAGAGTGGAATAAATGTGATTCGAGGTGCTGGCTTACAGGGGCCACATTCTGTAGATATTCCTCACAGTTTCTCTACATTTAGTGTGTATCAGGTTTTATTTCTAATTTCTGGTAACCCAACAGCTGTGGAATAGATTAAATAAACCACAGATCAACAGGAAGAAGCCAACTGATAACCTTCTCTCACCAAAATGAACAAGCACCACCTGCTTGATTACCATGGTTTGGTCTGTCTTCGCCATCGAGAGACCCTCGCTGTGTTTGAATTGCTCTCATGTCGATTACAGTCTGATCGTTACCACGACAGTGCCTACCTATGCATGTGATCCAGTGACTTGCATAGCTGGTACATGTAGTATTTCACTTTATTCTCAGGCAAAGGATGCTGCCGACCTGCAGTGGAAGTACGAAACGGTATTAGATCTACCAGATGGTGACTGTAGCCAGACTCATGCAAACGCATGTCTGTTTGAGCCTCTTTGAAGGCTTGACCAACTTATAATCAAAACTGCCGCAGTAAGTTGCCACAGTAATTGTGGACAAGACAGGACTTAGGTGGAGCTGAGGGGGCCCCAGATTGCCCTTGTGCCCCTTCTAGAAATGTTCAAACAAATTTTCCTCTTATTTCAATTCTGATTGGCCAGTTTGGTTGTATAAAGCCCAACACTATTATAAAGCTATACTATATAATACTGTAACTTCCTGTGTGAGTGAGAGAGTAGCAGAACAAAGCACTGCTGATTGCCCCCTCCAGGCCTTACCAGAGGAAAAAACACATGTGAGCTAAAGATGATGGTTTTCGTCTACTGCAGCACATTGCATTAAAACAAATCTTCTCTGGAAAAAAAATAACGGGGGTCTTAATGGGAGGCCGGAGAAAGGAACGCTGGAGCGAAAAATTAAATTCCAATGAGGGTGTTGCCTTCCGAGAGTGGAAACCAGGAGAAAGCCAGTGGCCCGGGATGACAGAGGACCAAAGGCTGGCTAATACGCTAATATGCTAACACGCTAATATGCTAGCACGCTAATACGCTAATATGCTAATACGCTAACACGAAGGCCATTCCACACATATGGCTCTTTTATATCACACAGTTTGGGTGTCATAGTCTGGTCACATCTGACATCATTGTTTTATATTTAGAGTAGCGACCATATTCTCACCACTACACTTGCCCTTTTCCCCTTGTATACTGTGACATTTCACTCGGCATGGAGGGCTCTACTTTGCTTTCATTAGCAATAATGAATGTCAATATACAGTTTATAATGTGTAATTCTGTACAAAATGTTTTAAAGGGCAATTTGGCTGACCACATCTGTCTAGTCAGTAAATAAAATCTGTGAAGTGTTATTTTTAAATAACGTGCTGAGTGATTATTATCTGGTCTGCCTGGGTCAGACTGGGGTTTCACTGGAATAAGTGTATCAAACCTGAAAGTTAGGTGTTAAGATGGAAAATATAGATAATTTTGCCTTCATTTACATTTCTCCTAGTCTGCTCCATTACGTGAGCTATTCTCAGAATGAATAAGTCATAAGGTTGTATCCCCAGTTTATTTAAATTGTTTGGACAGTACAGGCTGAAACATGATTGGAAAAATTGGTTCAAATCGGGTTGAGAAATAAAGAAAATATGTCAGGCCCTTTAACATTAGGTTAAGCCTGTTTCATGGGACATCACATATACTGCATGCCAGACAGGAGAACAACTCACTATCCAACATGATTACTTATAGCAGTTCTAAGTGTGTGGAAGATTGTCGGTGATCAAATATGATAAAATAAAAATGGATTGTGTGGGTGCCCACGTGTAAAACCCCTGAGCTAAAGGTGTGTGTTTTGTTTATATGGAGGATATATAGAATATCACTGTACTTTAATACTTGAAATAGACCCCCAATCAAACACTGCAGGTGAGTACCACAACTTCACCGATTCCGGTGTCTCACAAAGGGTTTAACATGGGCTCCATCACGGTGCAGAAGACAATCTTTCACTCAGCCTAACTTTGGTGGCTTTTGCACTTTGCACCTCCTACAGGTGAATTTGTTATTTTCTGGTTAAGGTATATGATGTTATGTTTCGGAAATTAGATTTCCCATAACAGTGCATTACTTAAGGGAAGCATCTGGCTTGGCAACGTGGAAATCGGTACAGCGAACACCACAATCTCACCCCACGTTGATGTTCAGAACAGCAAAGTCTGATGCAGAATTTATAACTAAATGGGATTCCAAATAAGTAGAAACACAATGAAATACATTCATAGACTATTCTTCAAGGGAAATTCCACCTCTTAAATCACCAAAATCTATGTAAAGTCGAAAGTCAGTGTAATGTGCCAAAGATGATTGGATGTTTTTTGTGATATTTAGAAAACAAAGTACAGTACCTCGCCACCTTTCTGCCCATTTTGCCACATTATCTTACACTATGCAACGGTCAGGAAGGTGTCTTGGTGATTGCCTAATAACTGCAGGAAATCGTGTGACACTGTCAACAGCTGGTAGATCAATATTTATGTTAACAAAGTATTTGGTGTACATTCAAGCTGCAGCAAGAAAAGACTGAATTTCCCCTTTGAATCTTTATATGTATGTGTGTGAATATCACTGGTGAAATACTGACCTTGTATTAACTCATAGATGTTCATTTCCATTAATTCACATATCAAGGAGAGGGTACCCGTTTCTTTGTCACTAACAAATACAAATACAGATAAATTCATGCTAAAATTCATACTTACAGAATAATAACAGATTCACAAATAAAATCATGTTTAACTCAACAGTTCAAAATATCACGGGCAAATAATTTTTGTAATTTAATTGCACAAGGCACAGTACTCACAAGATGACTTCATGCAGCTGAATGATGTTAGGGTGGGGATTCAGCCTCTTCATAGCTTGAATTTCTCTCAGGTTGTTTGCCTGCTCCAAACTGACATCAACCCTCATTTAATAACTGTCCCTTCCTCTGTCAAAACGCAGCGGCAACTTTTAATATTTTAATATTTATACCCCAGTATTCCAGCCTCAGATCAGATACGCACTGAATCGATGGTAGCATAAACAGATTTATGTTTAGTATTTGTGGAACGCCGCTTTTGAAATCTCATACTTGTGGGCTGAATGGAAAGTAAAACAGGCGCTGAACAAACGCGTGTTTACATGCCGCCTTGTCCTCAAGGTCAACATCGGGTCACAATGTCATGTGTCAAGCCGAGCAGAGGAGGGCTGTCGGAAATGTCATGAAGCAATACATCGACTTTCATATGTTCACACATACCAAAGCGCTGACATCCAAGACGCCAAGTTATTAGAAAGGAAAAAATAGATCGCTTACAACTACGAAGGTTTAAATGCAAAAATGGTACCTGTCGACGGACTGCTTCATTGTTTTGCACGCGTAGTATTTCCCATCTCTTAGACTTTGGGTTTTCACCACCTCGGAAAACGTCCCTTCTCCGATTTTTTTGATTATCCTGTAATCTAAACGGGGAGATAAAGCCTCATATCATAGCCGGAATAAAGGCAAATATAATTCTGGAGCCAAAATGTGCTGGTCAGAAAACGAACGTCATGGCCCTAAATCTACACTACAAAAGCGAATGTGACACGTCGAGAAGAACTGAATATTATAAAGGAATCATTCGGCTAGTAATAATATGAACAAAATATGAACTGAACATGAATGATAAATATAGAAATTCGTCTCAAGGACTGAGAGACACCTTCCCAAAAGTAAACAGCAAGTTGACTGGCACAAGGAAAAAACCCAGAACGCTAGATGGATGCCGCTTCCAAAATAATTTTTGGGTAATAATAAGAAAGCACTAATCTAAAAATCGTCGTAAAATGCAACCTTTAGTTAACACAGGCATATGAACTTACATTCCATCCCTCCGAAAATTCAAACGCCTTGCGTGTATTCAGATTACCCATAATAGGGGGAGCTGAACAAGCCGTAAGCTTTGCATATCTAAAGCGAGTTTAAAAATCAAAAATAAAACCACTGTTTGATCAGCTCGAAAAACTCGCCATGTTACCCCGATCTCCATGGCGACCAGGCACGCCTCCCCGGCCCGTCTCGCGCTGTAATATTATCCGCTTTACTCTGCCTATTTCCTGTGTACAGCCTACAGGCAGCTGTGCACAAGTCTCTAATTAAACATATTCACCACAATATGTATTTCACCAATGCAGAAAATTACTAACTCAAAAACATGTCTCCTTGGGCTATAGAGTGAGAAGCCTAGGAAGTTACCTAAGCTATACAAACAATCAGATGAGGAAAATGTTTACATTTCCGCTACACTTAATCTCTAGCCTATGTTGGTAACTGTTTGTTATCTAATATGAACGACTGAATAACATAAACACAACAGCAATATATACATTTAGTTCTATTATATATAAAAGTTTTGGGATTTGTATAAACTGATGCTGTTGCATGTGATCTTATTCGTTATATGAGATATGTAATAATATTTTACGCGACCTTGACCATGAATATAATTGGTCGGAAAATGGATGGATATATTAATATATGTTCAGTCACTGCTGGCAGTAATTGTGGGACTTTGAAAAGTAGCGAATTGTACGTCGCGAGGAATCTGGTCCTTGTTTGACTGTCGCTGGATGAAAAGTCTGTTTAGATGAACAGGACTGGGTTGAGTGTCATGTATAATACATATTGTTCTCGACTTTTGTGTTCTCCGTTAATTTAAGCCATCATGTTAGCGTGATAAGCAGCATGATAAGCAGTGCGTCGCAGAAGCAATAACCACATACAGAGATCAGGGAGTGCCGCTTGCCATGGGCTCACTTGCGCCTTCTACAGGATGTTAGGGGTCATGACTACACAATGCAAAGCAATAGCAACTCCGTACCGTTAGGGGTGGCAATTTCCCTCGTATTTGCGCATAGATTTTGGCATTATAGGGATACAGCAAACTTTATACAAATAGCAATTTGACTAATTAAAAATACATAAATAGGAATAATGCGATAGGCCTACAGAATTCCACAAATCAATACAAAACAAAACTTCAATAATAATCATCACTATCATCATCATCATAATGATGTACACCGTGTGGGCAAAAGTATCTCATGAAATAATTCTTTCGGAAATTATTTCCTCTCGATGTATAACTTCAACTACATTCAGCATAAATACTAATTTTTCAAAAATAGAAATAGGAAAAGACTGAGTTTCACTGTATTACTCAGGCTGCACTACAGCGTCTATTCACGGGCGCAATCCCGCTACTGAGCGGCACGGGGGCTTTGACCTGCTCCGTTTCCGACCTGGGCCGGTTCACCCCTCCTTAGGCGACCTGGTGGTCCCGGGCTCCCCCAGGAGCACCATATCGATACCGAACTTAGCGAGGACACCCGATCGACATAGTCCGCTGCAGCCCAGAACCCCTGAGCTCAAGCAATCCGCCAGCCTCAGCCTCCCAGTAGCTTGGATTACAGGCGCACGCCACCGCGCCCGGCGGTAATAGAGCAGGCAGAGAGAATATTTAAGACTCTAATACAATGACGTTATGGTCAAGATCGCCATCGTGTGGTTCAAAACAGAAACGTCTGTGAACCGATGTTCTATGTCCCTGGGTGCTCAGTGGAGTCTGTAAAATAGGCCGACAACATTTACAAAAGTATTAATTATTAAAAAAAAATTTTTTAATTACTATAGACACCATATTATGTGCAATAACCTGATTCCGGAGTAGAGTATAATTACAGAAAGAAATCGGTTACTTTCCAACAGACATATGCATTACATATTTAAAACTTCAACAATATATACGTATACATTTTAAAGAAGACAGGCGATACATTTTGGTGGGGTAGATGGACGAAGTTAAGTAAGTAAACAGACCATGTCGCGTTTTATATTTATTCAATGGCAAACAGAAACGGGCTTCCGTAGAAATTGCGCACGCGCAGTATAGCCCAAGGAAGTATTCGCGGCGTGTTTGTCTATTTTCCGCTAACTTATTACAGACACCATGAAAACCAGATTTAATACGGTGGACATAAGGGCTGTCATTGCTGAAATTAATGCCACGTAAGACGAAAGTGTTTTATATCGTAAACAACAGTAATGCTTAATTTGTGTAATGCTGCATGGTTGACCAAAGTTCGCCTAGCTCTATTGACTAGCTTGTTTTATCAGCTCTCATGAAACATTTTGACTGAGTTAAGTGACTTGTAGAATGCATAATGCGTCAATCTTCTTTGCGTAGCAATCTTTTTATATATAGATGTGAAAATTGCAGTAACAAGCTGTTGTGAGTAAACTACAACGCCATTCTGTATGTTATTGAGGAGGGAGTAGACACAAGCCCTTGGATTAACATTTTAATTGTTCTTTTTCGATTGTTGCAGCTTTATTGGCATGAGAGTATACAATGTCTATGATATCGATAACAAGACCTATCTTATTCGGCTACAAAAGTAAGTGTTCTCGTGTCCGCAGGAACCCCACACCTTAAATGCAATGTCTTAGTGCCCAGATAGAAGGCATTCGTTTTATTAAATTCTGAATTAGTGAATATTTGTTTACTAAAACACAAGACATAATTCTATATTAACAATTCAAGCTTTGCAGATACACGAGTAAGAATTGAATGGCAGCGGTGCTGCTTAAATGGCATTTCGCTGCTCTGTGAGGTGATCATAAAGATATTTATTTTGTGTTATCTTTTGCGTTTGATATTAGTTTTAATTCCATGCTTGTGTTGTTACCTTTTTAGATGTTATTGATAATTAATTTGGTTGTTTTAGGCCCGAATCGAAAGCCGTGCTCTTGTTGGAGTCGGGCATCCGCATTCACTCCACGGAGTATGACTGGCCGAAGAACCTCATGCCTTCCGGATTTGCCATGAAGGTAAGAAGCCCTCGGGCAAGCTCTCCTCGCCGATTTGGAGGCATCTGCAGCCCAGCCACTTTACACACTGCTGTTGTTCTCCCCCCACAGTGCAGGAAGCACTTGAAGTCTCGGCGACTGGTTTCCGTGAAGCAGCTGGGAATAGACAGGATAGTCGACATGCAGTTTGGGTCAGATGAAGCGGCTTACCATTTAATAGTGGAGCTGTATGACCGGGTAAGGTGCTGTAGTTCACCCACCTCTTTCCCCCACCTATGAATTGTATTTTGAATGTCTCAGTTTTAAGTTGTACAGTTTATCTAGTTCATATGTGAAAACAAACAAAATTTCCTTCACTGATTAGTGCTGTTTTTTTGGAAATGGTCTTTGCACTGCAGAGTAACTTTGGTATGTGTTTCCATCCCTTGATGTGCCATTCAAGTTAGTCAGGTCTTTTCTGTTTTACATCTACCTTGGGGGTGTGAGTTATATTATGGGATTGCTGTCTCCCAGGGGAACATCGTGCTGACGGACCATGAGTACACCATCCTTAACCTTTTGCGAGTCCGGACGGCAGAGGCAGAGGACGTGAAGATCGCGGTGAGGGAGAGGTATCCTCTCGAAAGTGCCCGGCTTCCTGAGCCCCTCGTCAGCCTGGAGAGGTAAATGTACCATTGGGGAAAGGTGGGAGACTGGATGGTGGGGCTGGATATCATGATGGTAAATCAAGGGAACACATTTTCCTTTTCATAATAATCTATGTGCTGCTGCTTTTGGAAAGAAAAAATGCACTTCTCTTTGTTGTACTAACACTAAACATGTTTGCGTATTTTCCCTCCCCTTTTAATGTAAGATTGCTCATATGCTAAAACATGGTTTTATTCATTGAACTTTGTTGTCTTCTCACGATGACATCAGTGTAGAAGTCGTGGAAAAGCATTCTGTTCACATCAGTGACTGCAGGATGACCTTTTGACCTTTATTTATGGTGGCCCACAGGCTCACAGAGATGCTGTCTTCTGGGCCCAAGGGAGAGCAGGTGAAAAGGATCCTCAATCCACACTTCTGTAAGTGACTACCCTGTTTGTTTAGCGTTGGCCTCTGCCACACACCAGGCGGGCATCTGATTCCATCTTGTTTGTGTGACTTTGCAGCGTATGGGGCCTCTCTGATTGAACACTGCCTGATGGAGGTCGGCATCTCTGGCTTCATGAAAGCCGACGACCAGTTCAGCGTCACACAAGGCAAGTGGGGTGGGGAGGGCGGATGCAATGGACGTTCAGTGAGGCCTCAAGCAACCAAATTCAGCCCATGACTGGCTCTCATGAACATTTTTTATGTAATTTCTTAACTTAGTCCTTAAGAGAGGTCCTGTCTGTCTTCAGCTAGTAGCTAAATTACAAGGTAATGTTTAGTCAAATGCTGAAGTAATTGCTAAACACGTTTTTATTTTGGACTTTGGGATTCTGAAAGCAAAATGATTTCTACTTCTTGTTGCAAAGCTGATAAATTCATATATATCTGTTATTTTAGTAAAGCATTCCTCAACATTTACATGTTTTTTCATCCTGCTATGACTTTCTTTTTTTGCCAAGCCTATTTCTTAAGCATCGATGGCAAGTTTTTATATATGAATACGAGCGTCTCCACGTGTTTGTAGGTCAGCCTGTTCCTCTTCTCGTCTACAACATTCACCTCTGTGCTGAAAAGTCGCTCGCTGTCTACACGGTGCGCAATGATATGCTTATGCAGATTCCATGAGTAGGGGGAAGTGGGGGGAACGTGTCTCCCCCACGTTTGCTTCACACACATTGCACACAGCGATTTTGTCTTCGCTGGACACCTTGTAGAACTGCCAGACTGGTGACGCCATTTTAGTTAATTTTCCCACGCAGAGTTATGTCTCGCGTATATTGTGTCATCTGATTGGCACTTCTGATCAGGCGTTATAAACAACGGCGATCAAATTATTTAGAACTAATAACAACCGATAATGATTGATGGCCGATCGATCGGAGCATCCTTTATATGAGATGTAATAAATATCCTTTAATTTCATGAAAAGTATTTTGGACCAGTTTTTACATTTTCCTCCAGTCAGTGCACTTACCTGCCGGTACCTAATATTACTGAACTGGATCAGGTCATGCTCTCCAAACTGCTGTTCTGTGTGCTTCTTCCTTAGGTTATTGGATTACATTTGGCCTTGTTTAAGCTATAGGTATTGCTTCAAAAGGTACTATGCCCCTTCTGTAAATAATCAACTCTTTACTGGTTTGAGTATGATGACCTTGGCTTT